GTAAAGTATTTTTTAAGCGTTTTTTGTTGATTTATTGATTATAACAATTAAAAATTCGCATTTTTGCGGTTTCATTTTATTCGTTTTTAGTTTGATTATTCTGAAGTGTAAAGCCATTTGGAAACAGAGTTTCAGCTTAAGAAGCGAAATAGACTATTTCAAACCAAATGAATTTACGACATGCAAAGGTTATAAAAAAAACACACACTGCGTGCGAAAATGGTATACAATTTTAAGAAAAACACTTTTAGCAATCAAATGAAACTAAATTGAAATTCGAAAAGTATTGATTCGAATTACCTTTACGCTATCAACAACTGCAATGCTATTCTTGGGGATCCTTTTTTTTATCGAATAATAAGACAATCAATGCCTTTAGCAAAACTATTGTTGAAGTTATACACATTGTGGTTAAAGGTTTTTAAGAATACCTAAAAGTTTTAAAAATTAAAAAAAAAATGTAACAGTTATAAAAGTCTAAAGGCAGTCAATATTTTTCTGATAATGCTCAAAGCCAGACATATTTTGTATGCAGAAATTTATCATATACCATATTAAGGGGTTACATGGGTTTCGTCGAGCAAAACATTTTAATATTTTCAATAAATTTTGTTTCATATAAAAAATTTAATATTTTATACAAACTTTTTGTTATTTCGAAGATACATATTTAATAAAGATTTTGTGAAATTTGCAAAGGAAAATATTCAAAACTCGGTCATTACGACGTCATTACCCGCAGTACCTCGGAAAAAGTTGCGTCCGTGTTGACAGCAGAATTTTTTACACGAACATCAAAAGTAAGAAAAAAAAACACATGTTTGAGCTAAGACCATTAACTAGGTACGGAGACGGAGAAAAAACAAATAAAGTGCAAGTTATATTTTTGGCAGACGTTTTTACAAAAAAATGCAAATTTTGGTGAACATTTCTCGATGTTTATTATTTTTTAAACAGTTTTAATTGAACAAAAAATATCCTTCGCGGCAAGCACTTGTAAATTATATTTCAAAGACCTTTGTAAAATTTCATTAAGAATGGTTGAGTAGTTCTTAAGAAATCTTGGCAATCTACTTTGAAAACACAGTTTCGATAAAAACGGGTTTAAAGTTTTATGTGACTATATAGCTAAACTCGAGTGCGCAACTTTTCAAAGCTGTATCTGCAAAACTATTAGTGGTATCAACTTGAGAAAAAAGGGCAACATTCTAGAGATGTTAAAGAAATAAATAAGACAATAAAAAAAAATTGGAATTCATGTAACCCCTTAAGGCAAAAACGGGTTTTCAATTTTTAGCGTTTAAAAATATGTCGAGGCAATCGTCGAAAAATGAAAAAACTACGAATTTTCAACCAAATTGAGAGTGAAACCTGATCTATCATAGATAACGTTAAAAACTAGATTTTAGTTTTTTAAAAAATTATTTTAATATGGAAATGTCTTAAAATACTTCAAAATAAATTCGTCAATTTTCTGAAAATGCTGGCAAATGGTGGAGAACACTGATTTCATAATGCAAGAAAACTACTCTCAAACCAGCATAGCTATGAATAAAGAGGCGCAAAATTAGCCAGTGACTGTGAACAATTTTGCTAATTTTCGAATTTTAGTTTCAAATTTTTCACACAAATTCAAAATTAAATTCATTTAAAAGCACAAATATCAAACCAATCTATCGCTGTTGCAAACTAAAAACCACTTTATAGGCCTGCCAAATACATGTTCATCAACCGAAAATATAGAAGATTCGCAAATTTCTTTTGTCACACATTATATAATCAAAGCCAAGTCACCACTCACCTCATTAAAATGCAATTTTTATTGAATTTCCTTTGTTGCTGGGGCATAAAGGTTTTTCTTTTCATATTTTGCACAAAGTTTAATTAACTTTTTCGTTTTTGTTTTGCTTGTAATTGCTGTAAACGTTTGATCAGCGCTGGGCTTTGAAGTGCCGCCGGCATTTATTATTTCTTGCTGCACTTAAATGCGGTGCAAGCAACAAAAGACACCGTCGCCGCGGCAAAGCGAAGTTAAACAATTCGTCAACGCAAACGTTAGGTGGCAGCACATGGAAATTTAATTATGCTTTTTATTATTTTTTTTTTATTTTTTAATTTTAATGTGAAATTATTGCAAATGTTGCACTGATGGAAATTGCAATATTTTATTTTTATTTTTTTGTATTTGTTTTTATTGTTGTTTCGGTTTTTGTAGCACACAATAAGTTATTTGAGATTTATCGTTTGGCGGCGACAGTTAGTTTCGCTGTATTTTTTTAAAATACTTTTCAATATTTTTCACTAAAAATCTTAAACTTTACGCTAAACTAGTTAAATGCACTAGCATGTGGCGCTTGCAACACGGCCGTTGCATGCACTTGTGACTTTTATAACAGTAACTGTACGAATGGCGTACGGCTGTTTGCTGCGAGCATGACACGGCAAATGCACAAAGTAAACTTGCGACTACTTTTCGTTTGGCAAATGCGAAAGCGTATCGGCAAAATGCAAAATGTTGCAATGGCAATGTGGCTGGTTTTTGCCGCCGACGCCGCCGTTCGATGCGAAAGCCCAATTGCGAATGCGACATTAACTAACGCGCCTGGCGACCGACCACTTTGTCTTATACTCCACTTCGCTCCACTCGCTTCACTTGGCAGCGCTAAGCACCTGCATGCCATGTATGTGTGTATATATACTTGTATATATATATATATATATGCGTGTGTGTGCGTGTTTGTGCACTTGCCAGCATACACGAGCGCATAACAACTTTTACGAGAAATATGTAACTATGCATTTTTGCATTTACATGTGTGCGTGTGTGTGTGTGTGTGCGTGTCGGTGTTTAAGCATTGCGTGCGGAGTATTTGAGTACGCCGTGTTACGAACCATATCGAACACTTTGTGTGAGTCTATTTTCAAAGCACTCCAAAGTCAAAAGCCGCTCGAGCATTGTCTGCAAATATTTTCCAACGAAGCGAGCAAAAAAATGCAAAATGTTTGCAAAATAGAAACGGTCTGACGTGTTGCGCTGCATGCCGCCGTATGGAAGGCTTTGTTGCATTGTAGTTGCACGTACTACAGTTATTTGGCCACAAAGCCATAAACACTCCACTAAAATAACAACTCACAGCACTTAGAGTCGCTGCCGAATAGTGCGCCGCTCATGTGGCAAGCAGCAAATGCAAATGTTGTATGGTGTAAGCAAATGTTGCAAGCCACATTTTAGTATTGCAAAGCTTAGTGCTGTCGAAAACGACTAAATTTCCCTTTAAAAAATTACACTCCTTTTACTTTTGTTACTTGCAACATGCTTTGCAACATGCGTTGCTTGAGGTCGGCTGAAATTTTCGCACTGTAATGGCCTACGCGCTTTAAGCTTCACATGCGAATTTTTGGTATTTTTGCCACAACCACCAATGCCACCATCATATCGCCATTAAAGCAATAACTTGCAACAAATTACACCACACTGTACTCGGCAAGGTGCTCCGGATTGGTGAGATCAATTGGTTGCATGACTGAGCTCTTCTCACTGTTGCCGGTGTATTGTTTCGCTGTTGTTGTTGTGGTCATTGTTGTTGTGTGGCATTCCACGTTGTTCGTTGCGTGTTGCAGGTGAGTAAAAGGACATCGCTGCTTCGTGCCGGTATGACAAGGCAAATACAAATACAGTTTAACAGCCAGGAGTCGGAGAGCGTGAGTAAATTGGCAGTGTCTGCTCAGACAAAGGATTATTGGCGGATATTGGTCGTTGATACATGTATGTACGTACCACGTACATATGTATATAATAGCGTCATTATTTAGGCTTTGGCGTGTTTGGGCAAGGTTGGAGGTTGCTCTTTGCGAATTTCAATGCCGATATTTTCATTCAAAATGATAAAAAAAAAACTATTCGTGTGAGTATTTTTTTTTTTGTTTTAAATAAGGTATGGAACTTAAAATAATATTGTTATTTTTTTAATATTATACCGAAATTATTTATGTAATATTTTTCTTTTTAATAATGAAATAATAAAAATATAAAAGAAATCTGATATCATATAAATCATACAAAAATGTATAAAGTTTTATTAGATTTCTATGATTTCATATATTTTTACTTAATTCGGGAGAGAAAGTTTCAAGTTACACTAAAAGAGGGTGGATGGTGCAGAACTTACAACATCTATGCAGACGGTTCAAAAATGGCTAATGGAGTGGGTGCCAGAATCTATGGCTCGGAGCTGGATTCCAGGCGACCCTTCAAGCTTCTGCAACACTGCAGTACCTTCCAGGTGGAAGTCTTTGCGCTGAGGAAAGTGGCTGAGATAGCTAGCAACGCAGAAAACAACACAAAACAGAACAATATATACGTCGATATTCAGCCGGCAATTAAGGCAATAATCTCGCATCGCATTACGTCAGAGAATGTCCTGAGAAGCTGGGAGGCAGTAGATGGGTTGACTGACGGAAAGCGACTGCAGACATACTGGGTTCTAGACCTCAAATGAGGTCGAAATGGCTTGTGAGATCCCCGTCCGTCTGATTACCGAACCGGTACGGGAAATACAGAAGTCAATAAACACGATATGCAATGAAATTTCCGAAAACGCTAACAGATCGATCAGCGCGAGATGGAAGGCCTTAAGGACATGCAAGATCTCCCAGTTCATGTGCAAGATTCCCGAAGAAAAATACGGCCTGAATGACGAATACTTCAGCGCAAATTAAATCGAACCTCAATCTGGCATTATTAAGGACTCGTAGGTCTATGTATGGCGTGACAGCCGGCCTGTATAACCTAACCTAATCTCAAATGGAATTTATAAAGCAAATAAAAGGTCGGAAGATCGCTAGATAGTTTCACCTTTTTTGGTGAACATTTTTTTATTCAAAATATACCTTTGTTCTTCAGATTGAAAACTCTATAATCGGTTCATAACTCCAATACTTATACATATGTATATTCACAATTTTATAAATAGATTTTAATAATTTTAAATTTTACATACCTGTTTCTTTAAAAAATCATCTGCTTTTTGGATTCTTTTTGACGGTTCGAAAAATCTGGAAGAAAAGTTAAATAAACCAATATAATTATTTTAAGCAATATTCGTAGAAGATTAACTGATATAGCATATGGAAGGGAATATATGTAAAAATATATGTATATAAGCGCTAGTAAATTATAATAACCTTCACAGGTGCATATGGCAAAAAGGGTATAAAAAGATATTTAACATGATTTCGGACAATCAGTACGTGTGGCAGCTATGTGCTATAGTGATTTGATCTGAACAATATTTTCCAATATGGTGGAATTGCCTTAAAAAAATCTGTGCCAAGTTTTGTGACGATTTCTTGACTAGATTTTGACCGATCAGTTTATATTACAGCTATATGCTATAGTCGTCTGCTATCGGCGTTCTGACAAATAAGCTGCTTCTTCTGGAAAAAAAAACGTGTGCAAAATTTCAAAACGATATCTCTAAAACTGAGAGACTAGTTCCCTATATAGAGACAGCGATCAAAAAACACGGTTATTGAATGTTATGGCTATAAAGTAATATCCAACTTTATAGAGAAATTATAGCAAAGAGCTACCCTGCTCAAGCGTGAGAAAAGTTTTGGAAAACCACAACCAACTTTACATTATTTTAAAATATTTTCCTACATTTTCCGTACAAAAAATTATTTGGAGGTTTTTGAGCGCTCTACCTTGACCTTCTTTAAGAACTCACTTAATATTAATTTGTATCATTTGCTTTCTTGACAGTTCTTTATTTTCGTTCATTGGAAATTTAATGCTTAGTAAAATAATGCTAGAGCCAACCTAAACTCCCTCATTCTGTTCTAACCTAACTTAATACGACCATAACTTAGACTGTACTTTTACCAACTCGCACTCTTTAGATACCCCGATTTATTGGTATGTATGGACGTTTGAAAATATAAACTTTTCTAAGCAATAGCTTAGGATGAAGCTATATGAAGAATCTGAGAAAATTTACCGTAGTGCCGTATATATGTATGTCATATACCATCTGAAAGTAGAGACTTTCAAGAACATAAAGCATACTGACTTTTAAAAATATTAAAAACTTTTTTGATTGAAAATTTGGGCTTTTTTCAATACTAGGTCGATACAAGGAGGAAAAAATATATTTAAAATAAATAAAAAAGTATTTTTGGGACATTAGAAGTTAAGTTTTCATCAAATTTCGTGAAAGAAAATAAATTTTTTACAACAAGTTGGTTATCGGGATTTTTCACATAAATTTTGAAGTTATGGGAAAAAAATCTTTAAAGAAAAGTTATAGACTTTTTTACTACCTACAACAATGCCATATAACTTTGTTTTATAGGACTCATTGCTTAGCCGGAATTTGAGATAAACCTAACTCTTAAAAATTCAGCCACACCCCTTCTCATCCTTTCCTGACTGTAGATCACCCGTAATTATTTTTTCCTTAATCTTTTGTCATTTTATCTTTCGTTTCGGATGGGTTTCAATCTAATAAGATTTTTTTTGTTTATAAAAATTATCTACCCTGGTTTAAAACGGCTCTTGAAAAACGAGCTATTGGATATATGCATTGTTTAGAAAGTTCTATAAAGTTTTACAGCTTGCTAAGGATATCTCTGTGAATACAAATACAATATTTTGCAGAACAATAAATTATTAAAATATATTTATATTAAAACATTTTTAAAATATATATTTAACTCTTTCGAGATTCAAAACTTTTCAAATTAACACACAAATATGCAAATTGAATTATCCAAAGATTATTTTGTCAAATTCAATTTATCACTTGTAGCAGACAGTGTCAACCCTTACAACTACCCTTTATTGCTACATCAACACTTTTCCGTACAAATATACCGTATCTGCCTCAAAAAGCACCCACATATCCTTGCTACGCCATAGACCAGCGCATATGCGAATATCCAACTTTATATGTTTCACTAAGTTCACGAATATTCGGAAGCCCACATCACAAATTCCAACAACCACACTCTCATGCCTACCCAACTCCACACACAGACAAATGCGTTGAAGAGCAATTCGCAAGCGGAAAAGTCACCACACACCTGATAACTAACGGAATGAGCGCTTTCGTGGCGAAGCAAATTGTCGCACACAAAACACTTCGTGGCTGGAAGAGCTCAAAATGGACTTATTTTGCTATTTATTTGTTCGGTTGTTGTTGAAAAGCATTCTTGCGTCGCCAACAACTACAACAACAACATTGAACTGGTTCGTCTTTGGCAACGACACAACGGAGCCACAAGTGGCATGGAGTTGTCCTCTGACAACCGGTTCGCCGGTGGAATTCGGCTCATACAGGTGCTCTCGAGCCAGTTGTAGTGGTGAATTGCTTTGTTGAAATGTTTTAGCCAAAAAAAAACCATAAACGAAAACTTCGGCAAATATGGAGCTTGCGCAGTTTGAACGTTGCAGAAAATACGCTCATTTGTTGCATGCGACATAGTCAAAAGTTGCAAAGTAGATACAAATACATGCCTAAATAACAGTAAACACAATTTTTGTACTCAAACTATTGCTTCTTTGATCAGCATAGAGCACACGCATATGAATATTTAAGTATGTTTAAAAAAGTTTGAAGCATAAATGGACCATAGACCTTGGTGTTTGTTACAAATCGGAGCTCTTTTTACTCAGAAAGTTACTCAAATCAATGTTTATTGCCATATATAAATAAAATCTTGTTAAATAGCACTATTTGAAAATTTAGTGTTGCCACCTATTTTTTTATAATGCAACAAAAATAATTTTACAATTCCGTTTCTTCTTTATTTTATTGTTATATACAGCTTTTCTTAACTGTTAATACATTTTAAAAATAGTGTTGCCACGTATTTTTTTTATAATGCATTAAAAACCATTTAACAGTTTCGCCCTTCCTTTATTTTATTGTTAAACACAGCTTTTCTTAACTGTTAATATATTTTTAAAATAGTGTTGCCATCTATTTTTTTTAAATATCATACAATAGAAAAACATTTTTAATTTCGCTCTCTTCTTTAAAATTTTTTTGGTGCGTTTTCTCCATAAGTTTTATTGTAAATATATTTAAAAAACGGTGTTGCCACCTATTTTTAGTTTAAAATGTAATAATCTTTCCTCTAAGATTTCTCAACATAGAAAATGGCAATCTACATGTCTTTAACAGAGTTAGGTTAGTGAGAGAATATAGTGATCTAGACTCGGGCTTTTTTGAAACTAGCTAGTACCCTTTGGTCTATCAATTCTGCATAAAATTTAGAAAATTCTGTTATAATACATTTTCCTTCCCCCAACAGATCACGTTTTTTCTCCAATACTGGTCGGAAATACTCTGACAAGAAGTATGTTAAGTTTTGTTATGCTATGTTATGTTATTCTATGTTATGTTACGTTATGTTATATTATCTTATGTTATGTTATGTTATGTTTTTTGTGCTTGTTATACTACGCTATGCATATCTTTACTATATAATGCTTTATGTACTAATTATGCTATGGTATGCTATGCTATGTCAAACCATGTTATATGTAACTAATTACCAATAAGCGTCCACATCTACATAGCAATATGCATAATTTCACGCGTTACTTGCAACAAACCGTTATGAGAACAAAATTACTTGTTACTAGTCAAACACACCCTTCAAACAATGCGCATTGTTATTGTTTTCAAATTTAATGCTTTTCAAAACATACTAAACCCACAAATGCAAATTGACCAAAATGCGTACGCTTGGGAGCATTTTGGAATTTTTGTGGTCACAGAGTGATGACAGCGCTGGCAGGCGGTTGGAGGCGTTCAGCGATGAGACCGGCAGTAAATGCTAATGCCAACCGAAAATATGCAACAAACAAACAGTGGAGGGCCACAAGCGGTTTTTGCTAAACCGACACTTAAAATTGAAAACTTTTCTATGAGCAACAACAACAAATATGTATACGTGTATATATGTTTATCTAAGTAATCTCTGGCTGGCATATTTTTAAACACGTGCATCACTGTTTGCTATGACCACTGCATGTATGTACAAGTATATATAGGTATTGTATATGTATGTGTGTTTTTGTCTGTTTGTGAGTGTATGTTTCGAGCATATCATAGCCTAATGTGAGTATTTGTCTCTGACTGCCAATTTAGAAATTTACATAAATATTTTCACATGACCGCATTTGCAACAAAAACTCCAGCAGCACAATACAACTTCACTGCGGAACTCTTTAGAGCATACAAGTATTTGCATACAATATATATATCTATAACTACGTGTATATATATCACTTATATTTATTTACTCATTGCATTTATTTATTTTCGTTTTTAGTTGGCCACTTTGTTGTGGTTGTGGCGCTTCGGCAAATTTACTCCTGCGGTCTAATATACCCAAATTTACGGTTTATTTAATCATAGCGCAGTGCCTCCACAATTTCCGTCAACAGACCATCTTTGGTCCATCAATAGTGCAGGTGAGTCATACCAATAACATAACTCTACATACAAGTATGTCTACATAGAAATGTGTGGAGTGAGTGAGCAACTAAAAAGTTTTATTTCTCCAATTATGTCATATTCAATTAGGGAAAAGTTTTTAATAGTATAAACAATACATATGTTAAAAGTGAAAGTAAAGGTTTCTTGTGTCGTTAAATGTGGCACAGAGAGTGCTTGCAGAAAGTCGTGTGAAGAAAGGTTTTTAAAATGTTTGCAAATTTTTCTTTTCGAAAGTAGAATTTTATAATTTCTCACATTAAACAAATATTAAAATCTCTTATAAAATATCTCATAAAATATAAATATTTAAAAAGATTCAGTAAAAATCGGTATAAAAATTCTTAAATACTTATTTCACACATCAAACTGTTTTGTACATTAAAATCAAGAGTCAAAATTGTTAATTGCCAAAGTCAGTAATCTAAATGAATCTTGCGTTCAAATTAAGCCGAGCCCATTTGCAAGGAGACAATTGCCAGATTTAAGGCTCTTTTTTCAGCGAGAATACTGATACTTCGTCGGAAGTATTTTCTCTTTCTTTATAAA